TGTTCATTTCTTCTCTTCCGTCAGCGGTTGCTCCAGATCCGTGGTCAAGGTTGGATATTACTTGTGCTGGGCTAAATAGCATCAAGTTCAAATCCTTTCCAGACTGCTTATGCACGTCATACAGTCGCTTGACTACTTTCGCTGTACATTCGAAAATGGGAAGTCCATTTGCTTCCAGAACTAAAGGGGATTTCCACGTTTAAATTGTCTTGATTCCTACAGAATTAGGATAATGGCTTCTTATGACTGGATAGTTCGATGTAAACAGCTTTCTCCGGCTCCCTAAGGGAGTGCCATGCACTTTCCGGTCCACTATGAAGGGTCGAACTTCACCTGGCTATACATTAAAAATTGAGAAGTCCATTTGTTTTCGTTGGGAGCTTGTGTTACTAGGAGCATGAGAGCCTGGGGGTGTGGGAGCCTGAGGGCCTGGGAGCCTGGGGGGCCTGGGAGCCTGGGGGCCTGGGAGCTTGGGGGCCTGGGGGCCTGGGAGCTTGGGAGCCTGGGGGCTTGAGAGCCTGGGGGCCTGGGAGCCGGGGGCCTGGAAGCCTGGGAGCCTGGGAGCCTGGGGGCCTGGGAGCCTAAGGACCTGGGAGCCTGGGAGCTTGGGAGCCTAGGAGCCTGGGGGACTAGGAGCTTGGGGGCCTGGGAGCCTGGGGGCTTGGGAGCCTGGGGGCCTGGGAGCCGGGGGCCTGGAAGCCTGGGAGCCTGGGAGCCTGGGGGCCTGGGAGCCTGTGGACCTGGGAGCCCGGGAGCTTGGGAGCCTGGGAGCCTGGGAGCCTGGGGGCCTGGGAGCCGGGGGCCTGGAAGCCTGGGAGCCTGGGAGCCTGGGGGCCTGGGAGCCTGTGGACCTGGGAGCCCGGGAGCTTGGGAGCCTGGGAGCCTGGGGGACTAGGAGCTTGGGGGCCTGGGAGCCTGGTACCTGGGAGCCTGGGGGCCTGGGAGCCTGGGAGCCTGGGGGCCTGGGAGCCTGTGGACCTGGGAGCCTGGGAGCTTGGGAGCCTGGGGGCTTGGGAGCTTGAGAGCTTGGGAGCCTGGGAGCCTGGGAGCCTGGGGGCCTGGGAGCCTGGGGACCTGGGAGCCTGGGAGCCTGGGAGCTTGGGAGCCTGGGGGCCTGGGAGCCTGGGAGCCTGGGAGCCTGGGGACCCGGGAGCCTGGGGGCCTGGGAGCTTGGGAGTCTGGGGGCCTGGGGGCCTGGGAGCTTGCGAGCCTGGGGGCCTGGGA